GGTTGAAGAAATGGAAAGTGCAAGTGAATGAGACATGCTGTTTTTGCAATCAAGCACTGGAAACAAGAGAGCATATCTTTGCAGAATGCTCATATGGTAGAAACATATGGTGTAGGCTCATGAAATGGTTACAAGTTCAACCAATCATATCTTCATGGTCAGAATGGCAGAATTGGATAATACAGAAGACAAAAGGGAGATCTCAAATGGCCAGAATCCTCAAAATGGTATTTGCATAATACACACACTTTGTGGATTTAAATGCAAGAATATTTGTGAAATAAAGCAATAACATGGATATTCTTGCAAGGAGAGTAGTATGCATGTGCAGCATTAGAGCTGAGGGATATACTTGTGTCTTATTAGCAAAATGTAATTACTGAGTAGGTAGTCGGATAGAAATCATATAGAAGATGTTAGAAGGTAGTCTTATATAGAGTCAGTTGGATTTTTTTTTTCCAATAAGGAAGTCAGGTTGAGAAGACCTACTGCTTTGTAAATATTTACTTTGGTGGTTAATATAATGATTTAATTACAAAAAAAAAAGAATATTTTTTTAACCCTCATGGCTCTACAACTTAACAATTTGAATTATTTCATAGCATTGGACAATGTGAATGAGGATGGACAGATTAAAAGACATTATTTACCAAATATTCATTTATATGCATTTGGTTAGAGCGTTATCTAGAAAAAGTAGTTGACATGTAACGCATTTCTTCACAATTAAACCTTTTTTATAATCCTAAAACAAACAAATAAGTAGGTTAATGCAACTAATCAAGAGTTCATGCCTTTTGGTTGGTTTTAAGTTAACAACAACATACCTAGTAAAATCTCACTAGTGGGGTCTGGGGAGAGTAGAGTGTACGCAAACCTTACCCCTAACCCAAAAAGGGTAGGGAGGCTGTTTCCGGCAGACTCTCGGCTCAACAGGAGAGACAATAATATCATAAAAGAAACAAAAGAAAAGGCATGTAACAACAAAAGATGCCAGAAAGAAAATAACAACAACGAATAAGTAAAAGGACACTAACACAAAACTATGCAAAACAACAATGTGAACACAACATAGACCACTAGCAAACCTAACCAAAACTCTATCAGACTACCCGATACAAAGAGGGAAAGAACTCTCGACTACCCCCTAGCCTACCACCTTAATGTTCGACCTCCACTTGTTCCTATCAAGAGCCATGTCCTCGAAAATCTGAAGCCGCGCCATGTCCTGCCTGATCACCTCGCCCCAATACTTCTTAGGCCGTCCTCTGCCTCTTCTAATACTAAAATATTATAAATATTTAATTATAAAATTAATTATTATTGTATATTACTTGAGAATCCAAAAATTTAAAATCTTGAATTCGCGTTTGAGTGTTTGATAGGCTTTCTCATTTTGTCTTGGACTGCTTTTATTATCTTCAAAATTCAACTCAATGTGGATAATTTTAAAATCTAGATTGAGATTCTCGTGAAAAAAGAAAACGTATGTTGACTAAATTTGAAACTTTATTTGCTAGACTGTAAAAGAGAGGTCCCTATTTTTCAATTAGCAGATTAACCCCTGCCAGTGCATGTGATAATAGTAATTATGAGAAGATACTTTTGATATTAATTCAAAACTTTCTACATTAGATAGATCAATAGTAAAATGACAAGTTCTCATGCCCACCATAAAAGTAGAAAAAATAAAAATAAATTAAGAATTCCATTCTAAAAATGTAAAAATTCTATTTTTAGTAGACTTTCCTTCTTAGTCTTTATATTTTAGACCTCTCAACCTCAACACTAAAAAAGGCAGCTCGGTGCACAAAACATCCCACGTCTATGTATCATTCGAAAAAGGGTCGCACCCCTAGGCAGGGGCATAGGCACCTTATTTGAAGCGGTGTCACGTGACACCGCTTTGTCGAATATTTTTCGTATATCTGTATGTGTAAATAAGAAATAAAATAAAAATATTGAGTACACATATAAAAAATGATACCGCTAGCCCTTATAATAATTTATTTATTTGTTTACTTCTGCAAATATTGACACCGCTTACAAAAATTCTTGCGTACGCCACTGCCCATAGAGATGTGATGTAGACAATCTATCTCAATACAAGCATTAGTGACTACTTTCACGACTCGGACTCGTAACTTATACATCTCACAAAAACAGTTTTACCATTGGTTCTAGGCTCCCTATACCCGAGCACTCATAAAATAAAGGGAGAAATTCAAAAATAGCCAGATTTACCACTGGTCGTTGAAAAATAGCCAAGTTTCAAAAGTCATCGAAATTTAGCCACTTTAAATCTGAGCGAAAACACTGTTCAAAATCCGGAAAAATACGCCCGCAAATTTTACGGGAGTTCCAGGATAACTATGCTGGAACTCCCGCAAATTTTACGGGAGTTCCAGCAAGTATAATTGTCCAGTATAATATACTGGAGTTTGGAGCACTGGTGCTCCAGTCTCCCGCAAATTTTACAGGAGTTAGCAAAGTATACCGGTCCAGCATAATATGCTGGAGTTCGTACACAAATGCACCAGAACTCCCGTATATTATACTGGACCGGTCCCTGTTGCAACAAAATAGTGGCTATTTTTCATTGACTTGATAAACGCTGGCTATTTTTTATTGACCAATGTGAAAACTGGCTATACCATGATATTTCCTCAAAATTAAAAAAGGATGCATGGATTTGCAAAAAGTGAGTGGCAAACTAATTCTAGTAATCTAGTCAAGAACAGTCAAACAAAAGTAACTAATTAAAGGATAATAAAACCCAAAAGCATATAATATAACTACAAAAAGCAACAAAAGAAAAGTATAATAACAGGACAAATATTAGAATTTAAAACAAAACTCAAGAAATTAGAACGAATCTGAACTCAGCTGGCAAAACCAAATAAGGTTGGCGGGTAATAATACAAATCGATACAAAAATATAAATTGTTTTTAAGTTGTTGAAAAGGTAAAAATGCTTTGTTTTGCCTACAAAGCTAGATAGTTTTTGGTGATGAACACAAAAATATTACTACTATAGTAGTATTTTTTTTTAAAAGATAGTAGCTTTTCAGAAATTTGGAACAGTTTTGCTTGTCTTTGATAAGAAAATAGAATTAAAATATAGGAAATCACCAAATCCAAATTATTTTATGATCTGGGGTTCTTGATTCTTCACAAAGTACTGCAGCTACTTGTTCAGTGAAAATTCTGTGGTTGATTCTGTTCAAGAAATGCATCAGCCACCTTCAGCTGAATTTGATTCTTCTGCTCATTCTAATCTTGTAAGTCTCTCTTTTTTTTTTTTTTTTTTTTGAATCCCAAGAAAACCCGCAGCCGCTACAGCCTCTGCCACAGCCTCTGCCCTTCGGGTGAGCACTCTGTGCGCACTGGGTAAACCCCACTGTGTAATAGCCTGCAAACCACACAGGGGATGTAAACCGCACTAGGCAAGCCCCGTGCGACAGGCTCAGAGTCTCTCTTTTCTTGTTTTATATTATATGGTTATTTTTTTGGTGAGTGTTTGTGCAAAGAGGGTTGCTAAAGAAATGAATTTTCTTCTTTTTCTGTTGTGGGTTTTTCTTGAATTTAATGTTTTTGGTGGTTGGAGGAAGAAAGGTGTGAAATTTTTGGTAGTGGTGGAAGCTGGAATGTGAAAGATTTGATTTTTTAAACCTTTCTGATAAGTGAGTTTGAATGTCGATGAATTAGCTGGTTTGAGATTTTTATGTCATTACTTTAGCTTGTTTGGTGCTTCAATGTTTTTTTTTTGGCATTTCTTCCTTTTATGTCCTTGTGTCAAGGGTCTATTAGAAATAATTTCTCTACATTCACGTTGGGGGTAAGGTCTGCGTACTCACTACCCCAGATCTCACTTGTGTGTTTATAGTGGGTTTGGTGTTGTTGTTGTTCGTTTTATAAGTAGAGAAAAATAGGGAAAGAAATAATCAGAGTAATGTATGCCAAGAAGGCCTAGAGTCTCATTTTTGCTGACCTATATTAAGATTTTAGTTGTACTTAATCCACTGTTCTTCAGAAGTAAAGGTTCTAGATAAAGTTGCAACTTTTTGCTTATAAATGAATTTGTCATCAGATATAACCAGTTTGTCAACTCATTATGATCTATGCGTCTCAAATCGCTCGCGGCGAATCAGTTTTTGCTGCTATAAAAGTTAAATATACTGATTAATTTCTTTGCTTTTGTGGTTGTTGGTGCCTTGTGTTGTTATTGTTATGTCACTTCTTGTTTAGTGTTTTTTAAGCCGAGGATCTATCGGAAACAGCCTCTCTACCTTCACAAGGTAGGGGTAAGGCCTGCGTACACACTACTCTTCTCAGACCCCACTTGTGAGATTATACTAGGTTTGTTGTTGTTGGTGGTGCCTTCTATGTTCTGAATTTTATTTTTTGTGTTAATAGAAAGGAGAGAGAGAGGAAGCCACTTTACAGCTTGTTTGGATGGTCCCGTTGTATGGTATTGTATTGTTATTCTAAAATAATGTTTGTTTTGATTGTTTCAATAAAATTGGTTGTATTGTATTGTTAAATCCATTGTTCCGGAACAATGAAAAGTCCCCTTTTTTGAAACAACCGATTTGGTGTGGTGGGATTGTTTCCGATTTTTCTTTCCAATTATGCCCTAATTTATTACTCCACAATTCTATTTTAACCTTTACCTTTTTTTTCTATTTTAACTCCAAAACTCAAACCTATAACCTACTTTGTTTTTTGTGCAAACTTCTGCCGCAAACGTTAAAGGTGTGTTGCCGCCTTCTGTTTTATGTTTTCTCCTAATTTACTTTTAACTCAATTCTAATTAGCTGTGCTCCTTTGTTTTGCCTTCTTCTGTCTCGCTCCTTTGTTCCGCTTTCTTAAGTTGTTTTGTCTCCTTTGTTTTATTTTTAAAAATTATTTTTATGCATAATTTTTGATAAATTTAATATTTAAATAATTGAGGATATTTTAGTAAACTTATCGGTTACAGTACAGTACGATACAGTCAAACCAAACAGCAAAATATTATTTAACAATAACAAACAATACAATCTATCCAAACATTGTATTCATAAAACGATACAATACATTGTAAAACGAAGGTAAGCAATGATCCAAACAAGAGTGTTAGTACGGCAGCAGTCAACAAGACGGCCAAATCTCTCCTCTCTGCAAATACCTACAAGATCTTTGGAAAATGCATTATCCAGTTTTACAAGAATAGATGTTCCAAGTCCTAACTCCACCCGATCAGGGTTGCCCCCGAGGCCCTACTCTGCTAAGTTCCTGTCATCTATGAAGAATCTGATTCCACAGAAGAGCACTAGGACAAAAAATGTAACCCACGATGGCGAAAAGACAGTTCTCATTATCCCAGATACGCCACTTTCAGATAAGCCTTCAACTTCAAGATCGTTTTCTCTGAATAAAGTTTTGTTCTCTTCAACGACAAGATCAATCCGCTCTTTACCAGAGAGGCCAGTGGGAACTGTGGTAAAGCCTGCAGAGGACAATCGTTTGGATGCTCAGTTAGAGTTAATTGTATGTCATATATCCTAATATTTACTTTATTTGGATGCAATTTTTGTGTGTACTCTTTCTTACTTTTTCTTTTTGTACCATTGATATATTTACTGACAGAAACCTGAAGCTCAACAGCATATGAAGCGTTCATTTTCAGTGCCTATACATGTTAAATGCAGAAGCTTAAGGAGGACAGATACTAGTGGCAGTCTCATCCGTGTCATTTCCAAAACTGTTCGCCCAACTACAGATTCTGATGCCTCAGCAGACATATCACAGGAAACAGAAAATGGTATGCCAAATTTTGTCGCGTCCTGGCTCTTATAAATTTTATACTCACTTGTCACTAGCTGCTCCAATTTGCTAATGCTTCACGAGTGTACTTAATAGTGCATATGTGAAAACCTATTTTGATCATTTTCTGGACTAAAAAGGTTTTTGGTACAAGCCTACAACACTAACTGTTTTACATGTATGTCTCTGCCTATTGAGATGTTAACTCTGTATACATGTCTGTCTCTGCCTATTTGTGGCAAGTTATACTGAAACATCCTTTTATGGTTAGAGCTTCTTTTATTTGCTCATGTTTTACTCCCTCAATCCCAGTTTATATGATGCTCTTTCCTTTTCGGTACATGCCAAACTTTTTGACACCTATCCGAAAATATTAGTGTTCTATACAACTTCAAGAACTCAAATTCAATTAACTATAGGCAAGTTCAGCTAATAAAGTTTTACGGCTTCCTTTTACTTTGGCTTGAATTTTATGTGAACCTCAAACTTAAAAAATGTTAAATAAGTACCTCTGATCTAGTACTTCTTTAATCAAGGCAGATACTTTAATTTCTATTAGGAAATGTAGCTTCATGCATGGAGATTCTATATGCCTTTGTAATTTAATCAATAACGGATATGACATAAACATTGGAAGCTTTCGATTCTTTATTTGATTGAGTCACTAGGATATTCTAATCCTAAAACCTTATCAAGTACTAAACTCATGAACCTGTAAATCTTAACATATATTATTAGATCTGTTCACAAGCGTATAAAATATTTTCAGATGATATTATCTAAACATTTGGAAGCTTTTGATTCTTTACGTGATGCACTGTAAAGCATGGGATCTTTTAATAATAAATCCTTCTCAAATATTGAACTCGTGAATGGCCTGGATCTTGATAAACATTACCAAGGTTTCTTCACAAGTGATAAAATTTACTTGCACTTGTTTGGTGTCTTGTCAGTTTTTATACCATGACAATTGCCTAATTGGTGTCAATAGTTTCTCATTTATTTGGTGATACTTGTAACCAGGTTAATCTAAATGTTAACGAATACAACAACAACCCAGTAAAATCCCACTAGTGGGGTCTGGGGAGGGTAGTGTGTACGCAAACCTTTACCCTACCCCTAAGGAGTAGAGAGGTTGTTTCCGAAAGACCATTGGCTCAAGAAAACAGAAAGACAAAAGGGAGACAATATTAGTATCACCACATAAATCATAGGAAAAATAGGAACAACATTAAATTCAGAAGAAAGATGCAAAGCAAAAGCGATAGGTAGTAAATAGGTCATGCATTGAAAAGCGTAATAGTAAGACACAATTTTGCCAATAGCTATCTTAGACAAAAATCCTACCACACTAGTCTCATAGAGGTACGAAGTAAGGCAAGACTCAACTACCTCCTAACCTACAACCCTAATACTCGATCTCCACATTTTCCTATCAAGTGTCATGTCCTCGGAGATCTAAAGCCTCGCCATATCCTGCCTGATCACCTCTCCCCAATACTTCTTAGGCCGCCCTATACCTCTTCTCGCGCCCTCCACAACCAGCCGCTCACACCTCCTTACTGGGGCATCTGCGCTTCTCCTCTGAACATGCCTGAACCATCTGAGCCTCGCTTCCCGCATCTTGTCATCAATGGGAGCCACGTACACCTTCTCCCGAATATCATCATTCCTAATCTTATCCATCCTAGTGTGCCCGGACATCCACCTCAACATCCTCATTTCTGCTACTTTCCTCTTCTGGATATGTGAGTTCTTAACAGGCCAACACTCAGCCCCATACATCATGGCCGGTCTAATCACTGTTTTATAGAACTTACCTTTGAGTATCGGTGGCACTCTCTTGTCACATAGGACTCCAGATGCAAACCTCCACTTCATCCATCCTACCCCAATACGGTGTGTGACATCCTCGTCGATCTCCCCTCCCCCCTGGATAACCGACCCAAGGTACTTGAAGCTACCTCTACTTGGAATGGCATGTGTTTCAAGCCTCACATCCACGCCCACTTCCCCCGGCTCAGCGCTGAACTTACACTCCAGGTATTCCGTCTTCGTCCTGCTCAGCTTGAAACCCTTAGACTCAAGAGCCTGTCTCCAAACCTCCAGCGTCTTGTTAACACCGGCTCGCGACTCATCGATCAGAACTAAATGTTAACTAATGTCACATGGAAATTGCTTTTGTCTCACTTATTTGAGTGTTTCTCTCTTCTTTTGCTATCAACTGAGTCTGGCAAGATGTACCTATCCTTGTCATGGTCAGCATGCTTGCCTACTTTTGCTTTCTGGGGCAGCTTCTGGTACTTTTGTTTCTTCATGGTTATATATCTTCGTATGTGAGTTAAAGTGCTAATATAATCCAGTAAGTTTCAATTTATTTTCGGCCAAATTGCATATTATTGGCGCGTAGTTTAAGCTGGTGTGTTTCTGTCCTATTGTTCCGGAATGTGCATTTTTGTACTTATTTTATAGGATTTGTGCATTTTTTGTCCTACTTTTTTGGTCTGTGCACATAATGCAAACTTTCTAAAAGAAATGCTAAAATAGGACTTCTTCTAACTACATTAGTTTTTGATGAAAAAATTCATGTACAACTTGTTGATCAGCCATTTGAGAGTTCATTTGTGTGGATATTTGAGGGACTTGAAAGATAAAAAGAGATAAATGTTATCGTAAATATTGTTAAAATAAAATGATTATTAGTACTATATTAAAACGTCTTAAATTTGTGTGCATGTTAAGGTAAGGGGGAGATGTTGGAGAATTGATGCCTTTTATTACTTCAACAAATAGTATTTGAATGAATATAGGTTTTGAGCATCAAAAAGACTGATAAAAGAATCATGTGCAAGGCAGATTACTTTTTCAACGCTACGACGAAAATCCCATTTTTTCACATTTTTAGAATGTTGGAGTTTTATGTTCGCATCTGAAAAAGTAGGACAACAAATGGAGAAACTCTATAAACTAGGTGCCAGAACTGCACATTTCAAAGAAGTAGGCCAAAAACAGATGACTCTTATAAACTAAGGTTATATGATGCAACTTTAGCTTTATTTTATCACTGGTTCCTTTGTTCAGCTGTCGTAACCATCATGACATTCATATTCTACATTCATGTTATCATATTTTAAGAGGGTATGTAACAATTTCGTGTTAAAGCACGAATTTCTTGAAATCCTAGATGGAAAATTGGTATATTATGTCGTGTGTGTGTCAATAAGTTCAGCTTGTTGCGCATGTCATAACTCAGTATGGACTAAAAAGAATTGGATAGTGAGTCTCTTCAAGTGTCAACATTTGTAGAGATGTTTAGAACTGTCCAAAAAATATTTAGGAATCCTATTAAAGGCACAACCATTTCTTTGATCATGTTTCATATAGCAGTATTCACATATCTGTCTGATGTAGAATATTGTGTTTATCATTTTCTTTTCTTGTATCGTGACAGGTGACTGACTTAGGTGCTCGTGCTCGTGCTCTTGCTATCTCTTTACCTTTCTCTTGTGTTTTAGGTTTTCTTTCTTCTATGATAGCTTCTACAATGGGTATGATTGTTTTCCCTTCTCTATTTTCTTCTCATCCGATGTCATGATTCCACATATAAAACTTCTACTTCCTGGTCTTTTCCTTTAACTTAATTGAATACTTTCAAATATATTATGGCTAGAGAGACAAAGGTAGCTGTTAATCCACTGCATGTTTGTTGGATTTTGTCTCTTAGATATCAAGATAACTAAGAAGTATCATATCACAATCTATGCAATTTCACGATTTCTTAACTGGAAATGAACTTTCTATTATAGGATTTAGTGATTTACACACTACTGTTAAGTAGCCATATATAGTGGAATTTTGATGTTCAGTAAACATGGTTAACGTGTTTGGATAAACACTTTGTGTCATTGGCCAAGAGCCTGTTTGGGTAAAAGTGTTTGGTTAACGTCTACGATCATCCCCTGCACCAACAACTAGTGCCATGCAACCACACGATCAAAGATATTATAGCTACATTGACAACACCTCACGCCAGCAACGTCACCATGAACACCACCACCATAATAATAGTCAGCAGCAACAACACCAACTATTGCATAATCCGAGAATACGGGGCTGCAAGAGATTAGGATTCAGAATTCTTAACTAGACTTGTAATATAGCCACCCTCAAAATAATAGCCGAAAAATATATATATTTTGTGTGTGTACATATATATATATATATACACACACTATTATACACTTTTTCGGCTGCTAAATGTAAATAGTTTTTGGTTCCGGATCCTGGATTGGCGGCTTCCAAGTCAATTTAAAGACCCTTCTTGTATTGATGCATGCTTTATTCGATTCGACTCCATGCCCACTCTATTCTAGTATTAATGGCGTCAAGTATTTGGTCAACTACTATCTTTCCAAAACTGATAAAAGGAAGAAATAGGTTTGACAAGACTTACATAGTAAAGAAGCATCACATATAAGTCTATCTCTCTCAGTTCCAGTAAGTTTTTCCAAGAAAACCTGGAAATGTTCATTTCCTTTGAACTACAAACTACATTATGTTACAATGACCAGTAAGTAAATCTTTTCTCAGACTGCTAGAATGGCTTTGATACACCATGGTATATTTGTGTAAAGTGCTATCAAAATTAAAGGATAAAAAGAAAGTCAGAAAAACAAAATACACAGGGAATAAATTATACACAAGCCTTATTTATCGATCGCCCTTGTTCGCTTCGTCAGCTGAATATTACTCTGTAGGTGCAACATGTCACTAGGTAACCTTAAATTATCGCACAAGACTTGTGCTGTTTTTCTTCATAACTGCTTCAAGGAACCTGTACATCCATTTATCTAGCATGCCTATTATACACAAAACATTAGGCAAATATGTAAGAATGTGTGATCACTGATTAGATTAAAGACTTCCTACTAATTTCACAGTCCAGTTTCTTAACTGTAAGAAACAGCTTTAGGGGAATATCCCTGAAATTCCAAACAGAAAAAAAGATCCTAAGAGGAAGCCAAAAGAATCAGGGGAAAACACGTCGTCCCCAAACCTATGACTGCAATAACCCCACATAAAAAAATCGGTATCTAACTAAACAGACACAATATAAATCCAAATCATAGGCAGATGCCAGGTCTATGCTATTTCAGCGAAATGCGTGAATGGAGATAATGTTTGCATGGAGATGATCTCCCCAGCAATTAACACTCCATTCTGAATATGCAAGAAAGAAATAAGAATGAAAGATAAGAATTCACATTTCCTGGCACCAAAATACTTGTAAGCATTTTCCACACACCAGAGCAAATGATTAACAATTTCTTCCCAAACAACAAAATATAGAGCATTAAGTTCGTCCTTCAAATGACAAGAATGTATTGTGCAAAAGGAAGAGTAGAATAATAGCAGGGACTTCTGGCTTATAAGAGAATGTTTAACGTCAAAAAATCCTACAGGCTACAGCTAACACTCTGTTTGGCAATCATTGTTCCCTATCGTTTTATAATGCATTGTATTGTATCGTATCGTATTGTACCGTATCGTTTTATGAATACAATGTTTGGATAGATTGTATTGTTTGTTATTGTTAAATAATATTTTGTTGTTTGGTTTGACTGTATCGTACTGTACAGTAACTGATAAGTTTACTAAAATACCCTCAATTGTTTAAATATTAAATTTATCAAAATTATGTATAAAAATAATTATAAAAAACAAAACAGAAGAAGGCAAAACACAATAAGGAAGCAGAACAAAGGAGCGAGATAGAAAAAGGCAAAACAAAGGAGCACAACTAGTTAGAATTGAGTTACAAGCAAATTAGGAGAAAAAATAAAACAGGAGGCAACAAAACGCCTTTAACATTGGTCTGGAAAAAAACAAAGTAGGTTATAAGTTGGAGATTTGGAGTTAAAATAGAAAAAAGATAAAGGGTGAAATAGAATTATGGAGTAATAAGTTAGGGCATAATTGGAAAGAAAAATAAGAAAAAATCCCACCACACCAAATCGATTGTTTAAAAAAAGGGGACTTTTCATTGTTCCGGAACAATGGATTTAACAATACAATACAATCAATTTTAATGAAACAATCAAAACAAACATTGTTTAGAGATAACAATACAATACAATACAACGAGGAACAACCATCCAAACAAGCTGTGTTGGAGGCAAACCTGTCAAGGCAAATGTACCACCCAGAACTGCACAGAGCCGAGTAATAAAGTGCAGAAAACTGCGACGCTCTTCTCTGATGGTCACAGTGATTGGTGACAAATCATATAAGAAATATACAGCTGCATTAATTGAGAAAGACAATAAGCAAAAAAGTACAACGAGAGAAAAAGAGAAAAGGCAACAATTGATAGAAAGAATTTGTCTGTTGAGTATTTAAGACCTAAGAGATGCACCTGGCCATGTCCAATCAAACTCATTGATGGGAGAAAAGTATTCCGTTACAGAGAACTGATTAGTTGGCGAAACTTCTTTTGATAAATACCTGTATTCAGTGGGAAGACAAAAACCAGAACTTCAAAATGCAGAATAGCAAAACAACAGAACATTAGCTTTAAAGAAAAACTTGGTATGAGATCCGCACAACTTAACTAGACCATACATTTCAGCTAAATGTTAATTACTCACCATAAATCCATGGAAATTTTCTCACACTTTATGGTATACTTAAAAGATAATTTGGCTACGGATAGTGGCAGGTACCAGGAACAGAAATTACTCCAGTTATAGAACTGCATATTTATGAAATTGCTCTTTCGGTCCAAATGCAGGTGTCAAATTTAGTTTCCACTCAACTACTAAGGTTACAGTTGGAAATTTATCATATTTAAATTAAAGTGGGTCTAAAAGTGAAGATAAAGTTGACTTTCAAAAAAATTGAATGTTGTTAAGGAATTTTTTCCTTCCTATACTATGAAAGTTTATTATCAAAAATGTGCATATTTTGTATATTACCCGTCCAGTCCACATTTTACCTACAAAAATTGTACCATTCGAAAATCAGGCATTAATGGATCAGAATATTCCTTAAAAACGCGCTAAAATTAAGGAGAGATTCTTGGTGATAATTGATTCTACATTAAATTAAATCTTTAAAAAGGGAAAGGAGATTTCATATCTGCATTTTTTTCTCCAGAACTACAATTCACATTCTGAAAAAAAAAGGAACGAACAGATATTCAACTACTAACAACTACAAAAACTATGAAAATATTCAACTACTAACAGCTTCTAAGATTTGAATTCAAATTGTAGAATTCAAAATTTTCGAGTTTCAACAACTCAAAGTTGAAAAAATCTGTTCTTCGTTGTTACTTCTATCAAATTGTCGATCAGATATATCTCTTCTTCATCTTTTCTTCTTTCAATCAAGAAATAAAAAAAAAACATCAACATCGATAACAAATCATGTCCAAAATCGCAATTATGCTACAATTTAATGGCAATTGGGATACCTATGGCAGATTTAGGGATTTTGAAGTGGATGCCATTGCGGTAGATGAGAATGCAAGCTACAGTACTCTGATCTCTACAATTGCAGAACAATTATCAATTGATACTGCTGAAAAAATTGTAGAAATCAAATACTCGTGAAATCAAATAGTAGATTGTATATAATTTGTAGACAAATTGTAGTTAATTTGTAGATTGTAGATAATTTGTAGATATAATTGTAGATACGTTGTAGATAAATTGTAGATAAACTATTTTATGATTGTAAATATTTTTATTGCTGTTTGTTATGTAATTCTTGGTGAGGGCTTCAACAAATCATATCCATGCTGTGATAGATGGTGTGAAGCGGTACATGAATCCTACATTATAACTACTATTAACTACAAAAACTCTACAATTATGTATAAAACCAGTTCTACAATTCAAACAAATTTACCTACAGTTTACCTACAGTGAATGTACAAATTACCTACAGTTTAAGTACCTAATATAAGAATAACTACAATTTACCTACAGTTACAGGGCAAACAGGAAACACATCATCCACAATCATGTCTACATTATATCTACATTTTAGACTACAATTAATCTTGAAATGTTCTACATAAACTACAAACTAACTACAATTACACTACAAACAGTAAATCTAGGTGAGGGCTTCAACAGATCATATCCATTACACTAAATCTACAATTACACTACAATTACACTGCAATTACACTACAAATACACGAGAAACAGTAAATCCAGAAAAGGGAATTTTGTTTGGTACCCAAAAAAAAAACTACTAAAGTGTATCTGTTGTCATTGTTTTGCTAGTTCGTGGCGTATTAAAATGTTTGTTGCAACTTTTGATTTCATGTAGACTTTCAGAAAATCAGATCACATACCACAATTGTTGCAGAGGAAATTGGCACGACATTCAAATATAATGAGATTTCGCTGGCTAATGCATCTCAAGGACATCTTTCGTTGATTGATCTTGCAATCGTGGATGAAGAACAAGAAAGAATGTGGGGTATGGGTAAAAACGTGGGTGAGGGTGTGAGGGGTAAGGAGAGAGAAACGTGAGATATATGGGTACCTTTAATTAAGGAGTAAAAACTGCCCATTAATTAGATATGGATACCTTTAATTAAGGAGTAAAAACAGCCCATTAATTAGACCCTTAATTAAGTATGGT